AGTTCACAGTGGCCATGTTGGTGAGTTCACAATGGCCATGTTGGTGAGTTCACAGTGGCCGTGTTGGTGGTTCACAGTGGCCATGTTGGTGGGTTCACAATGGCCGTGTTGGTGGTTCACAGTGGCCGTGTTGGTGAGTTCACAATGGTCGTGTTGGTGAGTTCACAGTGGCCATGTTGGTGAGTTCACAGTGGCCATGTTGGTGGGTTCACAATGGTCGTGTTGGTGGTTCACAATGGTCGTGTTGGTGGTTCACAATGGTCGTGTTGGTGGTTCACAATGGCCTTGTTGGTGGGTTCACAATGGCCGTGTTGGTGAGTTCACAATGGCCGTGTTGGTGGTTCACAATGGCCATGTTGGTGGGTTCATAATGTTCGTGTTTGTGGTTCACAATGGTCGTGTTGGTGGTTCACAGTGGCCATGTTGGTGAGTTCACAGTGGCCATGTTGGTGAGTTCACAATGGCCATGTTGGTGAGTTCACAATGGCCATGTTGGTGAGTTCACAGTGGCCGTGTTGGTGGGTTCACAGTGGCCATGTTGGTGGGTTCACAATGGCCGTGTTGGTGAGTTCACAGTGGCCATGTTGGTGAGTTCACAGTGGCCATGTTGGTGGGTTCACAATGGCCGTGTTGGTGAGTTCACAGTGGCCATGTTGGTGGTTCACAATGGCCATGTTGGTGAGTTCACAATGGCCGTGTTGGTGGGTTCACAGTGGCCATGTTGGTGAGTTCACAGTGGCCGTGTTGGTAGGGTTCACAATGGCCGTGTTGGTGAGTTCACAGTGGCCATGTTGGTAAGTTCACAATGGCCATGTTGGTGAGTTCACAATGGCCATCTTGGTGGTTCACAATGGCCGTGTTGGTGGGTTCACAGTGGCCGTGATGGTGGGTTCACAGTGGCCATGTTGGTGAGTTCACAGTGGCCGTGTTGGTGGTTCACAGTGGCCATGTTGGTGAGTTCACAATGGTCGTGTTGGTGAGTTCACACTGGCCATGTTGGTGAGTTCACAATGGCCATGTTGGTGAGTTCACAGTGGCCGTGTTGGTGGTTCACAGTGGCCATGTTGGTGGGTTCACAATGGCCGTGTTGGTGGTTCACAGTGGCCGTGTTGGTGAGTTCACAATGGTCGTGTTAGTGAGTTCACAGTGGCCATGTTGGTGAGTTCACAGTGGCCATGTTGGTGGGTTCACAATGGTCGTGTTGGTGGTTCACAATGGTCGTGTTGGTGGTTCACAGTGGCCATGTTGGTGAGTTCACAATGGCCGTGTTGGTGAGTTCACAATGGCCGTGTTGGTGGTTCACAATGGCCATGTTGGTGGGTTCACAATGGTCGTGTTGGTGGTCACAATGGTCGTGTTGGTGGTTCACAGTGGCCATGTTGGTGAGTTCACAGTGGCCATGTTGGTGAGTTCACAATGGCCGTGTTGGTGGTTCACAGTGGCCATGTTGGTGAGTTCACAATGGTCGTGTTGGTGAGTTCACAGTGGCCATGTTGGTGAGTTCACAATGGCCATGTTGGTGAGTTCACAATGGCCGTGTTGGTGAGTTCACAATGGCCGTGTTGGTTAGTTCACAATGGCCGTTTTGGTGAGTTCACAATGGCCGTGTTGGTGGTTCACAATGGCCGTGTTGGTGTGTTCACAGTGGCCGTGTTGGTGGTTCACAGTGGCCATGTTGGTGAGTTCACAATGGCCGTGTTGGTGAGTTCACAGTGGCCGTGTTGGTGGGTTCACAGTGGCCGTGTTGGTGGGTTCACAGTGGCCATGTTGGTGAGTTCACAATGGCCGTGTTGGTGGGTTCACAATGGCCGTGTTGGTGAGTTCACAGTGGCCATGTTGGTGAGTTCACAGTGGCCGTGTTGGTGAGTTCACAGTGGCTGTGTTGGTGAGTTCACAGTTGCCGTGTTGGTGGGGTTCCCAATGGCCGTGTTGGTGAGTTCACAGTGGCCATGTTGGTAAGTTCACAATGGCCATGTTGGTGAGTTCACAATGGCCATGTTGGTGGTTCACAATGGCCGTGTTGGTGGGTTCACAGTGGCCGTGATGGTGGGTTCACAGTGGCCATGTTGGTGAGTTCACAGTGGCCGTGTTGGTGGTTCACAGTGGCCATGTTGGTGAGTTCACAATGGTCGTGTTGGTGAGTTCACAGTGGCCATGTTGGTGAGTTCACAATGGCCATGTTGGTGAGTTCACAGTGGCCGTGTTGGTGGTTCACAGTGGCCATGTTGGTGGGTTCACAATGGCCGTGTTGGTGGTTCACAGTGGCCGTGTTGGTGAGTTCACAATGGTCGTGTTGGTGAGTTCACAGTGGCCATGTTGGTGAGTTCACAGTGGCCATGTTGGTGGGTTCACAATGGTCGTGTTGGTGGTTCACAATGGTCGTGTTGGTGGTTCACAATGGTCGTGTTGGTGGTTCACAATGGCCTTGTTGGTGGGTTCACAATGGCCGTGTTGGTGAGTTCACAATGGCCGTGTTGGTGGTTCACAATGGCCATGTTGGTGGGTTCATAATGTTCGTGTTTGTGGTTCACAATGGTCGTGTTGGTGGTTCACAGTGGCCATGTTGGTGAGTTCACAGTGGCCATGTTGGTGAGTTCACAATGGCCATGTTGGTGAGTTCACAATGGCCATGTTGGTGAGTTCACAGTGGCCGTGTTGGTGGGTTCACAGTGGCCATGTTGGTGGGTTCACAATGGCCGTGTTGGTGAGTTCACAGTGGCCATGTTGGTGAGTTCACAGTGGCCATGTTGGTGGGTTCACAATGGCCGTGTTGGTGAGTTCACAGTGGCCATGTTGGTGGTTCACAATGGCCATGTTGGTGAGTTCACAATGGCCGTGTTGGTGGGTTCACAGTGGCCATGTTGGTGAGTTCACAGTGGCCATGTTGGTGGGTTCACAATGGCCGTGTTGGTGAGTTCACAGTGGCCATGTTGGTGAGTTCACAGTGGCCGTGTTGGTGGGGTTCACAATGGCCGTGTTGGTGAGTTCACAGTGGCCATGTTGGTAAGTTCACAATGGCCATGTTGGTGAGTTCACAATGGCCATCTTGGTGGTTCACAATGGCCGTGTTGGTGGGTTCACAGTGGCCGTGATGGTAGGTTCACAGTGGCCATGTTGGTGAGTTCACAGTGGCCGTGTTGGTGGTTCACAGTGGCCATGTTGGTGAGTTCACAATGGTCGTGTTGGTGAGTTCACGCTGGCCATGTTGGTGAGTTCACAATGGCCATGTTGGTGAGTTCACAGTGGCCGTGTTGGTGGTTCACAGTGGCCATGTTGGTGGGTTCACAATGGCCGTGTTGGTGGTTCACAGTGGCCGTGTTGGTGAGTTCACAATGGTCGTGTTAGTGAGTTCACAGTGGCCATGTTGGTGAGTTCACAGTGGCCATGTTGGTGGGTTCACAATGGTCGTGTTGGTGGTTCACAATGGTCGTGTTGGTGGTTCACAGTGGCCATGTTGGTGAGTTCACAATGGCCGTGTTGGTGAGTTCACAATGGCCGTGTTGGTGGTTCACAATGGCCATGTTGGTGGGTTCACAATGGTCGTGTTGGTGGTTCACAATGGTCGTGTTGGTGGTTCACAGTGGCCATGTTGGTGAGTTCACAGTGGCCATGTTGGTGAGTTCACAATGGCCATGTTGGTGAGTTCACAATGGCCGTGTTGGTGAGTTCGCAATGGCCGTGTTGGTTAGTTCACAATGGCCGTTTTGGTGAGTTCACAATGGCCGTGTTGGTGGGTTCACAATGGCCGTGTTGGTGTGTTCACAGTGGCCGTGTTGGTGGTTCACAGTGGCCATGTTGGTGAGTTCACAATGGCCGTGTTGGTGAGTTCACAGTGGCCGTGTTGGTGGGTTCACAGTGGCCGTGTTGGTGGGTTCACAGTGGCCATGTTGGTGAGTTCACAATGGCCGTGTTGGTGGGTTCACAATGGCCGTGTTGGTGAGTTCACAGTGGCCATGTTGGTGAGTTCACAGTGGCCGTGTTGGTGAGTTCACAGTGGCCGTGTTGGTGGGGTTCACAATGGCCGTGTTGGTGAGTTCACAGTGGCCGTGTTGGTGGTTCACAGTGGCCATGTTGGTGGGTTCACAATGGCCGTGTTGGTGGTTCACAGTGGCCGTGTTGGTGAGTTCACAATGGTCGTGTTGGTGAGTTCACAGTTGCCATGTTGGTGAGTTCACAGTGGCCATGTTGGTGGGTTCACAATGGTCGTGTTGGTGGTTCACAATGGTCGTGTTGGTGGTTCACAATGGTCGTGTTGGTGGTTCACAATGGCCTTGTTGGTGGGTTCACAATGGCCGTGTTGGTGAGTTCACAATGGCCGTGTTGGTGGTTCACAATGGCCATGTTGGTGGGTTCATAATGTTCGTGTTTGTGGTTCACAATGGTCGTGTTGGTGGTTCACAGTGGCCATGTTGGTGAGTTCACAGTGGCCATGTTGGTGAGTTCACAATGGCCATGTTGGTGAGTTCACAATGGCCATGTTGGTGAGTTCACAGTGGCCGTGTTGGTGGGTTCACAGTGGCCATGTTGGTGGGTTCACAATGGCCGTGTTGGTGAGTTCACAGTGGCCATGTTGGTGAGTTCACAGTGGCCATGTTGGTCAGTTCACAGTGGCCATGTTGGTGAGTTCACAATGGCCATGTTGGTGGGTTCACAGTGGCCATGTTGGTGGGTTCACAATGGCCATGTTGGTGAGTTCACAGTGGCCATGTTGGTGGTTCACAGTGGCCATGTTGGTGAGTTCACAGTGGCCGTGTTGGTGGGTTCACAGTGGCCGTGTTGGTGGGTTCACAGTGGCCATGTTGGTGAGTTCACAATGGCCGTGTTGGTGGGTTCACAATGGCCGTGTTGGTGGATTCACAATGGCTGTGTTGGTGGGTTCTATGTCGGTGGGGTTCACAATGGCCCTGTTGGTGGGGTTCACAGTGGCCGTGTCGGTGGTGTTCATAATGGTCATTTCGATGGATTCACAATGGCCGTGTCTGTGCTGTGCTGTGTTTCAGGACATGAGATGCACTTGGAGGGAAGAATTGAAAAACCGGACAATCACTAGTGACCCACACCATTCCTCACTAACAACCCACTCATCAACGAGCACTCACTCGCCACCCACACCATTACTCACTCGCGACCCACTCACTCACTAGCGACCGTCTCCACTTATTAAGTTTCACTTTTAGATAGAATCAACATCTCAAAACATTCACACCGCTACTAATTCCTCAGCCGCGGTGTTCACACAAAATGAACACATTCATATTGGTGTTACATTTTAAACCACAGTGAACATTTTGTGAGTTTATACAAGCAGATGGCACGTTTAAATCGATACAGTAAATATGCAGTAAGCTTATGCAGAAAATATTTTCCTTATCATAGTTTCCGTATTAAATTAAACTACTGACGCCTGTCCTGAGCCCCCCAAACCTCGTGGCTCTCCACAAAATGGCTACTTGAGTCTTCTGTCTCCTCCCCTCATGCCGGTTACATGGGCCAAACCATTTCAGTGCCGTTCATGAGGGGGTTGTTCATGTGTCAAACCATTGTCATGTTCTACATGAGGGGTGTTTATGGGTCAAAACATTCTCCCTGTTCTACATGAGCGGTGTTTATGGGTCAAACCATTCTCCCTGTTCTACATGAGGGGTGCTTATGGTTCAAACCATTCTCCCTGTTCTACATGAGGGGTGTTTATGGGTCAAAACATTCTCCCTGTTCTACATGAGCGGGGTTTATGGGTCAAACCATTCTCCCTGTTCTACATGGGCAGTGTTTATGGGTCAAACCATTCTCCCTGTTCTACATGAGGGGTGTTTATGGGTCAAACCATTCTCCCTGTTCTACATGAGGGGTGTTCATGGGTCAAACCATTGTCATGTTCTACATGAGGGGTGTTTATGGGTCAAACCATTCTCCCTGTTCGACATGAGGGGTGTTTATGGGTCAAACCATTCTCCCTGTTCTACATGAGGGGTGTTTATGGGTCAAACCATTCTCCCTGTTCTACATGAGGGGTGTTTATGGGTCAAACCATTCTCCCTGTTCTACATGAGGGGTGTTTATGGGTTTAACCATTATCCCTGTTCTACATGAGCGGTGTTTATGGGTCAAACCATTCTTCCTGTTCTACATGAGGGTTGTCCATGGGTCAAACCATTCTCCCTGTTCTACATGAGGGGTATTGATGGGTCAAACCATTCTCCCTGTTCTACATGAGGGGTGTTTATGGGTCAAACCATTATTCCCTGTTCTACATGAGGGGTGTTTATGGGTCAAACCATTATTCCTGTTCTACATGAGGGGTGTTTATGGGTCAAACCATTCTCCCTGTTCTACATGAGGGGTGTTTATGGGTCAAACCATTCTCCCTGTTCTACATGAGGGTTGTCCATGGGTCAAACCACTCTCCCTGTTCTACATGAGGGGTGTTTATGGGTCAAACCATTCTCCCTGTTTTACATGAGGGGTGTTTATGGGTCAAACCATTTTCCTTGTCTACATGAGGGGTATTTATGGGTCAAACCATTCTCCCTGTTCTACATGAGGGGTGTTTATGGGTCAAACCATTCTCCCTGTTCTACATGAGGGGTGTTATGGATCAAACCATTCTCCCTGTTCTACATGAGGGGTGTTTATGGGTCAAACCATTCTCCCTGTTCTACATGAGGGGTGTTTATGGGTCAAACCATTCTCCCTGTTCTACATGAGGGGTATTGATGGGTCAAACCATTCTCCCTGTTCTACATGAGGGGTGTTTATGGGTCAAACCATTCTCCCTGTTCTACATGAGGGTTGTCCATGGATCAAGCCATTGTCATGTTCTACATGAGGGGTGTTTATGGGTCAAACCATTCTCCCTGTTCTACATGAGGGGTGTTGATGGGTCAAACCATTCTCCCTGTTCTATATGAGCGGTGTTTATGGGTCAAACCATTCTCCCTGTTCTACATGAGGGGTGTTTATGGGGCAAACCATTCTCCCTGTTCTACATGAGGGGTGTTTATGGGTCAAACCATTCTCCCTGTTCTACATGAGGGGTGGTTATGGGTCAAACCATTCTCCCTGTTCTACATGAGGGGTGTTTATGGGTCAAAACATTCTTCCTGTTCTACATGAGGGGTGTTCATGGGTCAAACCATTGTCATGTTCTACATGAGGGGTGTTTATGGGTCAAATCATTCTCCCTGTTCTACATGAGGGGTGTTTATGGGTCAAACCATTCTCCCTGTTCTACATGAGGGGTGTTCATGGGTCAAACCATTCTCCCTGTTCTACATGAGGGGTGGTTATGGGTCAAACCATTCTCCCTGTTCTACATGAGGGGTGTTTATGGGTCAAAACATTCTTCCTGTTCTACATGAGGGGTGTTCATGGGTCAAACCATTGTCATGTTCTACATGAGGGGTGTTTATGGGTCAAATCATTCTCCCTGTTCTACATGAGGGGTGTTTATGGGTCAAACCATTCTCCCTGTTCTACATGAGGGTTGTCCATGGGTCAAGCCATTGTCATGTTCTACATGAGGGGTGTTTATGGGTCAAACCATTCTCCCTGTTCTACATGAGGGGTGTTTATGGGTCAAACCATTCTCCCTGTTCTACATGAGGGGTGTTTATGGGTCAAACCATTCTCCCTGTTCTACATGAGGGGTGTTTATGGGTCAAACCATTCTCCCTGTTCTACATGAGGGGTGTTGATGGGTCAAACCATTCTCCCTGTTCTACATGAGCGGTGTTTATGGGTCAAACCATTCTCCCCCCCCCCCCATGGTTCTGCACTGATATCGCCGTGGCATTCGCAAAAACATGTCATTCGCGATAAATCGCATTTCGCCGTGGCTCGATCACCCGGATCGAGTCTCGACCAAGGATGCCCCGCCAGCCCAAGACCGATTCTCCGAAGCGCCGCTCACCCCCCTGCCCCCCCCTGCCCCCCCCCTGCCCCCCCTGCCCCCCACGACATGCCGAGGGCGAGCGCTTGCCGTCGGTTGCACGGACGCCCCGACCAACCCCACCATCGCCGTCGGTGCCGTGTGGCGTCGATCCCCGGGCCCTCTGCGCCCGCCCTGAAACTTTCCCCCGGCCGCGGCCGCCCCAGTAGCGGCGGCCGCCCCGGCGGGGAGCCGCGGCTCGGTGCCGGCACCGCCGCCTCGAGCCTCCTGCCCAGCTACGGTTGCCGCCGGCGGCGCCGGCGCCGGCGCCGCCGCGGCCGCGGCCGCGGCCGCGGCCTCTGCATCCGCCGCCCCTGCCACCGCTGCCGACGCCGGTGTGAGCACCGGCGACATCGCTGTGCCCTCGGCGCCCTCCAGCCCAGGCGTCGGTGTTGTTGGCGCCGGCGTGGAGTGGAGTTCGCCGTTTATCCCATTCTCGTCCCCAGCCACGACTGCTGCCGCCCACGCCGCCGCCTACACCAACACTGCCATCGCCACCACTGCTAGCATCAGCAACACCACCACGACCATCACCACCACCACGACCATCACCACCACCACGACTATCACCACCACGACCATCACCACCACGACCATCACCACCACCATCACCACCACCAGCACCACCACCAGCACCACCACCAGCACCACCACGACCAGCACCACCACCAGCACCACCACCACCACCACCACCACGACCAACACCACCACTGCCATCACCCCCACCAACACCACCACCGCCAACACCTCCACCACCACCAACACCACCACTGCCATCACCCCCACCAACACCACCACCGCCAACACCTCCACCACCACCAACACCACCACTGCCATCACCCCCACCAACACCACCACCGCCAACACCTCCACCACCACCAACACCACCACTGCCATCACCCCCACCAACACCGCCACCACCACCAACACTACCACTGCCATCCCCGTGCCCACTATGACCTCCTCCCCAACCGCTTCTGCCAACACCACCGCCACCAACGCCAACACCACCACCACGGCCACCACCGTTACTGCCACTGTGACCACCATCACCAACACCGCCATCATCACCACTGCCAACATCATGACCACCATGACCACTACCACCAACACCACCACCAACACCACCAACACCACCACCGTTACCACCACCAACACCACCACCAACACCACCAACACCACCACCGTTACCACCACCAACACCACCATCACCAACACCACCACCACCACCACCACGACCACCACCACCTCTACCACCACGACCACCACCACCTCCACCACCACCACGACCACCACCACCTCCACCACCTCCACCACCATCACCACCACCACGACCACCACCACCACCACCACGGCCTCGACCTCCACTACCATCACCAACACCGCCACCACCACCACCACGACCACCACCATCACCAACACCGCCACCAACACCGCCACCACCACCACCTCCACCACCACGACCACCTCCACCACCACGACCACCACTTACACCGCCACCAACACCACCACCACCAACACCACCACCACCACCCCCACCACCAACACCACCACCAACACCACCAACATCACCACCAACACCACCACCACCCCCACCAACATCACCACCACCACCCCCACCAACACCACCACCACCCCCACCACCATCACCACCCCCACCACCACCCCCACCATCACCACCACCATCACCACCACCACGACCACCACCACCACCGCCACCACCGCCGCCACCACCACCGCGACAATATCCGGGCTCGAGGCTGCGGTCGGTGCAGTCGGTGGTGCGCCAGTCGCAGGCTGAGCAGCGGCACTCCTCGGCCACGGGGTAGAGGAGCGCCGGGTCGGAGCCGCGGGGGCACCCCCGCAGCAGGGCCCTGCGGTAGGACACGCGCCCGTAGGTGCACACGTGGTTGTTGGGCGCCGTCGCCGGCAGCAGGAACTCCAGGGGGCTGTTCAAATCCTGCGGTGGGTGGTGGTGGTGGGTGGTAGGGGTGGTGGTGGGTGGTAGGGGTGGTGGTGGTGGTGGTGGGTGGGGAGGGTCGTCCGTAAGTGACGTCACGCGATTTTTGACCACGCCCACGCCCACGCCCACGCCCCCCCCCCGCCGCCTTTCGTCACGCGACGTCACATAAAAGTCAGAACGCCCCCTCCCCCCCTCCTCAAATATGACGTCACAAAAAGTCAGAACGCCCACCCGCCGCCCCCTCCTCAAATATGACGTCGCAAAGCTCTGCCCCGCCCCCCCCCATCTCAAATATGACGTCACAAAAAGTCAGACTCTCCCCCCCCATCTCAAATATGACGTCACAAAAAGTCAGACTCTCCCCCCCCTCTCAAATATGACGTTACAAAACTCTGCCCCCCCCCATCTCAAATATGACGTCACAAAAAGTCAGACTCTCCCCCCCCTCAAATATGACGTCACAAAACTCTGCCCCGCCCCATCTCAATATGACGTCACAAAAAGTCAGACTCTCCCCCCCCCTCAAATATGACGTCACAAAACTCTGCCCCCCCATCTCAAATATGACGTCACAAAAAGTCAGACTCTCCCCCCCCTCAAATATGACGTCAGAAAACTCTGCCCCGCCCCATCTCAAATAGGACGTCACAAAAAGTCAGAACGCCCCCTCCCCCCCTCCTCAAATATGACGTCACAAAAAGTCAGAACGCCCACCCGCCCCCTCCTCAAATATGACGTCGCAAAGCTCTGCCCCGCCCCGCCCCCCCCCATCTCAAATATGACGTCACAAAAAGTCAGACTCTCCCCCCCCCTCAAATTAGACGTCACAAAACTCTGCCCCCCCCATCTCAAATATGACGTCACAAAAAGTCAGACTCTCCCCCCCCCCCCTCAAATATGACGTCGCAAAGCTCTGCCCCCCCCCATCTCAAATATGACGTCTCAAAAAGTCAGACTCTCCCCCCCCCCTCAAATATGACGTCGCAAAGCTCTGCCGCCCCCCCCTCAAATATGACGTCACAAAAAGTCAGACCCTCCCCATCTCAAATATGACGTCACAAAAAGTCAGACTCTCACCCCCCTCAAATATGACGTCACAAAACTCTGCCGCCCCCCCTCAAATATGACGTCACAAACTCTGCCCCCCCCATCTCAAATATGACGTCACAAAAAGTCAGAACGCCCCTTCCCCCTCCTCAAATATGACGTCGCAAAGCTCTGCCCCGCCCCCCACCTCAAATATGACGTCACAAAAAGTCAGACTCTCCCCCCCCTCAAATATGACGTCACAAAACTCTGCCCCCCCCATCTCAAATATGACGTCACAAAAAGTCGGACTCCCCCCCTCAAATATGACGTCGCAAAGCTCTGCCGCGCCCGCCCCCCTCAAATATGACGTCACAAAAAGTCAGACTCTCCCCCCCCTCAAATATGACGTCACAAAACTCTGCCGCCCCCATCTCAAATATGACGTCACAAAAAGTCAGACTCTCCCCCCCCCTCAAATATGACGTCACAAAACTCTGCCGCCCCCCCCTCAAATATGACGTCACAAAAAGTCAGACTCTCCCCCCCCCTCAAATATGACGTCACAAAACTCTGCCCCGCCCCATCTCAAATATGACGTCACAAAAAGTCAGACTCTCACCCCCCCTCAAATATGACGTCACAAAGCTCTGCCCCCCCCCCCTCAAATATGACGTCGCAAAGCTCTGCCCCCCCATCTCAAATATGACGTCACAAAAAGTCAGACTCCCCCCCCTCAAATATGACGTCACAAAAAGTCAGACTCCTCCCCCTCAAACATGACGTCACAAAGCTCTACCCCCTCCTCCCCCCGCCCCCCCCCCAAAAACCCCCCCCCCCTAAAAGACGCTTCAAATCTCTTTAAACTATTGTCGTAATTGTAGCGCGGTGCTCAATGCGGCGCTGCACACTCTTGACGTTGTAGGATAAAACATTCATCAAAAAAGTAAATTTAATTAAAGTAGAAACGTATTCTTTTACATTGTGAGACCTCCTTTGCTCACCCAGAGCCCCTCAATAACTCTGATGGTGCGCTGTTTTTTGAGTTGTGTGACGCCTTTTGGCGTCCTCTGGTCCAACACCAGTGGAGACTTAAAGGGCTCTAAGAAAAGCCGTCTCTGGTGTGGACCAATCAAATTCAAGGACAGTGCCAATATTATTATTATCAGAGTTGTCTCTTTTTGTTGGCATTTTGACTGCTTGTGTTGTGGTTATTGCAAACACGATGCCTTCTTGAATAAAAGGTGTCAGTTTTTGTGCCAGTTAAAAGGGTAAAACCTATTACTATATCTTGTTACTGGCAAAGGAGGTCTCATAATGTAAATGTTCACCCAGAGCCCCTCAATACTCTGATAGTGCGCTGTTTTTTGAGTTGTGTGACGCCTTTTGGCGTCCTCTGGTCCAACACCAGTGGAGACTTAAAGGGCTCTAAGAAAAGCCGTCTCTGGTGTGGACCAATCAAATTCAAGGACAGTGCCAATATTATTATTATCAGAGTTGTCTCTTTTTGTTGGCATTTTGACTGCTTGTGTTGTGGTTATTGCAAACACGATGCCTTCTTGAATAAAAGGTGTCAGTTTTTGTGCCAGTTAAAAGGGTAAAACCTATTACTATATCTTGTTACTGGCAAAGGAGGTCTCATAATGTAAATGTTCACCCAGAGCCCCTCAATACTCTGATAGTGTGCTGTTTTTTGAGTTGTGTGACGCCTTTTGGCGTCTTCTGGTCCAACACCAGTGGAGACTTAAAGGGCTCTAAGAAAAGCCGTCTCTGGTGTGGACCAATCAAATTCAAGGACAGTGCCAATATTATTATTATCAGAGTTGTCTCTTTTTGTTTGCATTTTGACTGCTTGTGTTGTGGTTATTGCAAACACGATGCCTTGAATAAAGGTGTCAGTTTTTGTGCCAGTTAAAAGGCTAAAACCTATTACTATAGCTTGTTACTGGCAAAGGAGGTCTCATAATGTAAATGCTCACCCCGAGCCCTCAATACTCTGATAGTGCGCTGTTTTTTGAGTTGTACGTCTTTTGGCGTCCTCTGGTCCAACACCAGCGGAGACTTAAAGGGCTCTAAGAAAAGCCGTCTCTGGAGAGTGCTTGATGACCGTGACGAGTGGTGGGAAAGTCACATGGAGGGTCTACCCTTTGTCTAATTGTGCAGTACGTTCATCGGGCAATTCACCATTCCGGCGAATTGCCCGATGATGATGCTGGATGTATTTACCAGCGAAACGTCACAGTGCTACTCAAACATTGTAAATGTTGTGGATTCACTCTTCAACACACCGGTGGGCTAAAGTAGTGAACTATTTTGTCTTTTTGTCAACGTGACACTTTTTGTTTTGCTGATTGGCCGTGTCGGGTGGTGGAGGGTTACGACACAATTATAAATAAACGCGATCTAACCCAAAACACCTTTATTATGAATAATATTGGTCGCGAAAGCCTACTGACGTTCAGCACGTTGAACTTCTTTCGCGCCGTACGTGGCCAACCGTGCTAACCGGAGGTGCCGGGGGAAGGATCAAATAACTGGACACCAAAGACCGGTTCTCAAGAAATCAGTTCCCAACGTAGCGTAGCGCTGTGCTGTAGTGTATGGTATATATTAGTATAGTTATGTAGAGTGGTCTACGCAGTGAGTAGTAGTGTTATAGTAGGCTAGTACAAAGTCTAGTGTTTCATAGTGGTGTGTAATAGTGAGTAGTAGTGTTATAGTAGGCTAGTATAAAGTGTAGTGTTTCATAGTGGTGTGTAATAGTGAGTAGTAGTGTTATAGTAGGCTAGTACAAAGTGTAGTGTTTCAAAGTGGTGTGTAATAGTGAGTAGTAGTGTACAGTAGGCTAGTATAAAGTGTGGTGTTTCATAGTGGTGTGTAATAGTGAGTAGTAATGTAAAGTAGCCTAGTATAAAGTGTAGTGTTTCATAGTGGTGTGTAATAGTGAGTAGTAGTGTATAGTAGCCTAGTATAAAGTGTAGTGTTTCATAGTGGTGTGTAATAGTGAGTAGTAGTGTTATAGTAGGCTAGTATAAAGTGTAGTGTTTCATAGTGGTGTGTAATAGTGAGTAGTAGTGTTATAGTAACCTAGTATAAAGTGTAGTGTTTCATAGTGGTGTGTAATAGTGAGTAGTAGTGTACAGTAGGCTAGTATAAAGTGTAGTGTTTCATAGTGGTGTGTAATAGTGAGTAGTAGTGTTATAGTAGGCTAGTATAAAGTGTAGTGTTTCATAGTGGTGTGTAATAGTGAGTAATAGTATTATAGTAGCCTAGTATAAAGTATAGTGTTTCATAGTGGTGTGTAATAGTGAGTAGTAGTGTTATAGTAGTTTAGTATAAAGTGTAGTGTTTCATAGTGGTGTGTAATAGTGAGTAGTAGTGTTATAGTAGGCTAGTATAAAGTGTAGTGTTTCATAGTGGTGTGTAATAGTGAGTAGTAGTGTTATAGTAGTTTAGTATAAAGTGTAGTGTTTCATAGTGGTGTGTAATAGTGAGTAGTAGTGTTATAGTAGTTTAGTATAAAGTGTAGTGTTTCATAGTGGTGTGTAATAGTGAGTAGTAGTGTTATAGTAGACTAGTATAAAGTGTAGTGTTTCATAGTGGTGTGTAATAGTGAGTAGTAGTGTTATAGTAGCCTAGTCTAAAGTGTAGTATTTCATAGTGGTGTGTAATAGTGAGTAGTAGTGTTATAGTAGGCTAGTATAAAGTGTAGTGTTTCATAGTGGTGTGTAATAGTGAGTAGTAGTGTTATAGTAGGCTAGTATAAAGTGTAGTGTTTCATAGTGGTGTGTAATAGTGAGTAGTTGTGTAGAGTGTAGATCAAGGCCGTAGCCATGGAGTGAACATTGGGGGGATGACCAAATCTTCCAGGGGGTCTGGGGGTACCCCCCCCCCAAATCCCCCAGGAAAAAAAAAATCTAAATTTGAAAACTAATTTCCTGCCTAATATATATAAAAAAAATTCATTAACAAATGGGGATGGACTTTTTATTTATATTTTAACAATGATGTCTAAAAGAGTGTTATTGTTGTATTACATCGCTCTGTGTTTTTTGCTATTGTTTAATTGTATGCAATGGCAGAGATTAGGGATTTATAAAGCACAACCGTAGCCAACGATCATGTAAACACAAAATCTATTTTAATAGCGACATATTGCGGAAGAGATTGTTTCGAGCGTATCTAAATATCCAAATGCATATTGTAATCACGGCCTTATATAGTGCAGTGTATACCCAGTTACTGTGAATAGCTCGGATGTGTAGGCTTTGACTTTAACGTAGCCATTTCTGTGACCAGTCACAAGCTAATCACTCAGCTATTTCAATGCTAAATTCTATGCTAATTCCTTTGTCAAGGGGTGCCTCTGCGGATGTGTATACTTTAACTTAGCTATTTCAATGCTAAATTCTATGCTAATTCCTTTGTCAAGGGGTGCCTCTGTGGATGTGTAGGCTTTGACTTTAACATAGCTATTTCTGTGACCAGTCACAAGCTAATCACTCAGCCAATTAAATGCTAAATTCTATGCTAATTCCTTTGTCAAGGCGCTTTGTTTCTTCTCACACAGCTTAAAGGTCGTGATCTGAGCGTGGCTCTTTCACTCCAGCGCTGTCCTCCAGACAGTCTCGTCCCTTCACCTGATGAAGGCCGCTTGTGTTGTGGCCGAAACGACGTGAGAATTTTATTGTGTTATTTTATTTTATTTTATCAATTTATTATTTTATTCTCATTCTACGTGACTTTACCGAAAGAACCAAAGAAGATGAGGCCTTGGTGTAGTTCGTATGTTGAACTTCTTTTAGCACCGTACGTAGCCAACCGCGTGAATCAGCACCACAAACTTCACGCTCCTCACCCAGGTGATACAATGGCCGGCGCACGTGGTGGTGTTAACGGCGGTGCATTCTTGGCAGTCGGCGCGCTCCAGTTGTATGGTGGTGTTGACGGGGATGCATGTCTGGCGTGCGTGCACCGTGCCTGCCGACAGCAGCAGCAGCAGCACCCTTTGGAGCCACCTGGGGGTGGAGCTAAAGAGAAGGTGGGAGGAGTCAGTGCGGGTAAAACATGCAACTACAATGTGGGTTCACAATAGGGTTACGTTCAGCATAACTGGTCAACCGCATGCGGAAATAAACCAAACCGGTTACCGGTTTGTGCCTCGTATATATTTATAGCGAGCCAATCTCTCCACATCGACAGGCGGAGGCGCAGGTGAAGCATCCAGTGCCTTTCATTCCACCACCACCACATCGGCAGCTCCTTCAGAGCTCTCTCTCTCCTTCATCCACAACTCTCTCTCCTTCATCCACAACTCTCTCTCTCCTTCATCCACAACTCTCTCTCTCCTTCATCCACAGCTCCTTCCTTCATCCACAGCTCCTTCATCCACAACTCTCTCTCTCTCCTTCATCCACAGCTCTCTCTCTCCTTCATCCACAGCTCTCTCTCTCCTTCATCCACAACTCTCTCTCCTTCATCCACAACTCTCTCTCCTTCATCCACAACTCTCTCTCCTTCCGATTTAAAGCTTTCGTGACTGCAATGATTCATCTTCTTTGGTTCTTTCGGTAAAGTCACGTAGAATGATAATAAAATAATAAATTGATAAAATAAAATAACACAATAATATTCTCACGACGTTTCGGCCACAACACAAGCGGCCTTCATCAGGTGAAGGGGGCGAGACTGTCTGGTAGGACAGCGCTGGAGCGAAAGAGCCACGTTCAGATACGGCCTTTAAGCTGTGTGAGAGGAACAAAGCGCCTTGACAAAGGAATTAGCATATAATTTAGCATTGAAATGGCTGAATGATTTGCTTGTGACTGGTCACAGAAATAGCTATATTAAAAGTTAAAGCATACACACCCGCAGAGGCACCCATTGTCTTAATACCTCTCACACCACGGTTAATGGTATAGTTTTACAATATGGAGCATACTAGGGCCTCGCAGCTGTCTCTCTCCCCCTCCTCTGTTCCGACCATGGACGAACTCGTCCGTCTGAACGGGGCCCGTGGTGCTGAAATTTGAGGGTTAGAATCCACCCATTTTTTCGCCATATAGCATTGTGATATATAACGACTTATTGTTGGTAGCTTAGCTGATTGGAGAATATAGAGTTTATTGATAACATGAAGGTAATTTATATTTTAGTTTTTATTGGTTCACTATATAGTACTGTGAATAGTTCAGATGTGTAGTCATTTCTGTGACCAGTCACTAGCTAATCACTCAGTTGTTTCAATGCTGGATTCGCCTAGTTATTTCAATGCTAAATTCTCCTGTTTAATTTGTACTAAGGGCCTCGGTGAATGTGTATGCTCTGACTTTAACGTAGCTATTTCTAAAGCAGGTACAAGCTCTATTTCTGCAGCAGGTACAAGCTAATCAGTCAGCTATCTCAATGCTAAATTCTATGCTAATTCCATTGTCAAGATGTGTATGCCTTAACTTAGCTATTTCAATGCTAAATTATATGCTAATCCCTTTAGCAATGGGTGCCTCTGCGGGTGTGTATGCTTTAACTTTTAACATAGCTATTTCTGTGACCAGTCACAAGCTAATCATTCAGCCATTTCAATGCTAAATTATATGCTAATTCCTTTGTCAAGGCGCTTTGTTCCTCTCACACAGCTTAAAGGCCGTATCTGAACGTGGCTCTTTCACTCCAGCGCTGTCCTACCAGACAGTCTCTGCCCCTTCACCTGATGAAGGCCGCTTGTGTTGTGGCCGAAACGTCGTGAGAATATTATTGTGTTATTTTATTTTATCAATTTATTATTTTATTATCATTCTACGTGACTTTACCGAAAGAACCAAAGAAGATCTCTCTCCTTCATCCACAACTCTCTCTCCTTCATCCACAGCTCCTTCCTTCATCCACAACTCTCTCTCTCCTTCATCCACAGCTCTCTCTCTATCCACAGCGCTCTCTCTCCTTCATCCACAGCTCTTCATCCACAGCTCTCTCTCTCCTTCATCCACAGCTCCCTGTACATCACACAGCTCTCTCTCTCCTTCATCCACAACTCTCTCTCTCCTTCATCCACAGCTCTCTATCTCCTTCATCCACAGCTCTCTCTCCTTCATCCACAGCTCTCTCTCTCTCCTTCATCCACAGCTCTCTCTCCTTCATCCACAACTCTCTCTCCTTCATCCACAACTCTCTCTCCTTCATCCACAGCTCCTTCCTTCATCCACAACTCTCTCTCTCCTTCATCCACAGCTCTCTCTCTATCCACAGCTCTCTCTCTCCTTCATCCACAGCTCTCCATCCACAGCTCTCTCTCTCTCCTTCATCCACAGCTCCCTGTACATCACACAGCTCTCTCTCTCTCCTTCATCCACAACTCTCTCTCTCCGTCATCCACAGCTCTCTATCTCCTTCATCCACAGCTCTCTCTCCTTCATCCACAGCTCTCTCTCTCCTTCATCCACAGCTCTCTCTCTCCTTCATCCACAGCTCTCTCTCCTTCATCCACAACTCTCTCTCCTTCATCCACAGCTCCTTCCTTCATCCACAGCTCCTTCCTTCATCCACAACTCTCTCTCTCTCCTTCATCCACAGCTCTCTCTCCTTCATCCACAGCTCTCTCTCTCTCCTTCATCCACAACTCTCTCTCTCTCCTTCATCCACAACTCTCTCTCCTTCATCCACAACTCTCTCTCCTTCATCCACAACTCTCTCTCCTTCATCCACAGCTCCTTCCTTCATCCATCCACAACTCTCTCTCCTTCATCCACAGCTCTCTCTCTATCCACAGCTCTCTCTCTCTCTCTCCTTCATCCACAGCTCTCCATCCACAGCTCTCTCTCTCTCCTTCATCCACAGCTCCCTGTACATCACACAGCTCTCTCTCTCCTTCATCCACAACTCTCTCTCCTTCATCCACAGCTCTCTATCTCCTTCATCCACAGCTCTCTCCTTCATCCACAGCTCTCTCTCCTTCATCCACAGCTCTCTCTCCTTCATCCACATCTCTCTCCTTCATCCACAGCTCTCTTTCCTTCATCTACAGCTCTCTCCCCTTCATCCACAGCTCTCTCTCCTTCATCCACAACTCTCTCTCTTTCATCCACAGCTCTCTCTCCTTCATCCACAGCTCTCTCTCCTTCATCCACATCTCTCTCCTTCATCCACAGCTCTCTTTCCTTCATCTACAGCTCTCTCCCCTTCATCCACAGCTCTCTCTCCTTCATCCACAACTCTCTCTCTTTCATCCACAGCTCTCTCTCCTTCATCCACAGCTCTCTCTCCTTCATCCACAGCTCTCTCTCCTTCATCCACAGCTCTCTCTCTCCATCCACAGCTCTCTCCTTCATCCACAGCTCTCTCTCCTTCATCCACAGCTCTCTCTCCTTCATCCACAGCTCTCTCTCCTTCATCCACAGCTCTCTCTCCTTCATCCACAGCTCTCTCTCCTTCATCCACAGCTCTCTCTCCTTCATCCACAGCTCTCTCTCCTTCATCCACAGCTCTCTCTCTCTCCATCCACAGCTCTCTCTCCTTCATCCACAGCTCTCTCTCCTTCATCTACAGCTCTCTCTCCTTCATCCACAGCTCTCTCTCTCCTTCATCCACAGCTCTCTCCATCCACAGCTTTCTCTTCTTCATCCACAGCTTTCTCTCCTTCATCCACAGCTCTCTCTCCTTCATCCACAGCTCTCTCTCTCTCCTTCATCCACAGCTCTCTCTCCTTCATCCACAGCTCTCTCTCCTTCATCCACAGCTCTCTCTCCTTCATCCACAGCTCTCTCTCTCTCCTTCATCCACAGCTCTCTCTCCTTCATCCACAGCTCTCTCTCCTTCATCCACAGCTCTCTCTCCTTCATCCACAGCTCTCCTTCATCCACAGCTCTCTCCTTCATCCACAGCTCTCTCCTTCATCCACAGCTCTCTCTCTCTCCTTCATCCACAGCTCTCTCTCCATGCACAGCTCTCCCTCCCTTATCCACAGCTCTCTCTCTCTCTCCTTCATCCACAGCTCTCTGTCTCCTTCATCCACAGCTCTCTCTCTCTCCTTCATCCACAGCTCTCTCTCTCCATCCACAGCTCTCTCTCCTTTATCCACAGCTCTCTGTGTGTCTCTCTCTGTGTTAGTCTCTCTCTGCTTGTGTGTCTCTCTCTGTGTGTCTATGTTGCGTGTCTCTGTGTGTCTCTCTCTCTGTGTCTCTCTCTGTGTTAGTCTCTCTCTGCTTGTGTGTCTCTCTCTGTGTGTCTCTGTGTGTCTATGTTGCGTGTCTCTGTGTGTCTCTCCCTCTGTGTGTCTCTCTCTGTGTTAGTCTCTCTCTGCTTGTGTGTCTCTCTCTGTGTGTCTATGTTGTGTGTCTCTCTCTCTCTGTGTGTCTATGTTGCGTGTCTCTGTGTGTCTCTCTCTCTGTGTGTCTCTCTGTGTTAGTCTCTCTCTGGTTGCGTGTCTCTCTCTGTGTGTCTCTGTGTGTCTATGTTGCGTGTCTCTGTGTGTGTCTCTCTCTCTGTGTCTCTCTCTGTGTTAGTCTCTCTCTGCTTGTGTGTCTCTCTCTGTGTGTCTATGTTGTGTGTCTCTCTCTCTGTGTGTCTGTGTTGTCTCTCTCGGCTTGTGTGTCTCTCTCTGTGTGTCTCTGTGTGTCTATGTTGTGTGTGTCTCTCTCTGCTTGTGTGTCTCTCTCTGTGTTTCTCTGTGTCTCTGTGTTGTTTCTCTGCTTGTGTGTCTCTCTCTGTGTTTCTCTGTGTCTCTGTGTTGTCTCTCTGCTTGTGTGTCTCTCTCGGTGTGTTGTCTCTCTGCATGTCTGCCTGTCTGTGTGTACCTGATGACGATTGCTTGTGTAGCAATCGAAACGTCGTATTCTATTATTTAATTTATTTTCTACCCACGTGACTTTACCGAAAGAACAAAAGTGTATTTAATCCGTGACTGTTTCTAGAGGCAGAGTAAGATGACGAGTCGGAGCGTGAGTGAGTGAGAGTGATTGAGTGGCGTTTGTATGTTATCCCCCTGTTCTACAGAGTGAGTGGAATTGGTATGATCTCCCTCTGTTCTAAAATATGA